ATCAGTTTGCACTCATCGTTGCTTTTATAAATCCCCATGATGCACAAGCTTAAATCAAGCTAATGTAATTTATCTTTCCATTCATTATAAGGTAGGTGGATGTCATTATTCTCTGAGCAACTTGCTTTCATATCTGCTAGCAATATTTTAACAAAACACTACCCTGCGTGCAGAGTCTAGTTAAACTACACTCTGCCTAGTAGAGACCATATTACAGTTTAGTAGCCCCACCCCCACGACGGATACCGGTGGCAGTTCGGGTAATAAATCGCTTTTGACCTACGCGCTGACCTTTCTTCCACCAATCAGCGAGCTTGAAGAAACATATGCCAAATGCGTTCTAATTAAATATTCGCATGTCATCGGTCAATTTCGGGCTCAACGATGACGTCAGAAGGAATGACTATATATAGACCGTCGGTCAAATTTGGCCGACGAACACTGATTGGCGCGGTGAGTTCACAGGTTTATTTTAGTTTGAAAGAGTGAAGACGAAGCTCTCTTTTAAGAAGTGAAGTCAAACGAATGCAAAGGGTAACAAAACACTCACTTATCATTGAAACCTCTGCTGATTGATAATATTTACTCAAAATAAGTTGCTTTTCACAAAACATGAAAAAATTGCATACTGATCATGAGCTAACTAAATTAATGATGGTGTTTTGTGGACTATTGTGTTGCCTTTTGTAAATGAATGTTGACCTTTAGATACTCTAATGGTTTCATAGACTGCACTAGATTATCTGTTCCACATCATTTGAAACTGAATTTCCTGAATGGTAAGGGGAGAGGGTAGACATTGTTTCTTCACAAGTTAGATCAAAGTTTGGGATATTTGGGGTTTGTTTTCCATATGACACTTTATTTATATTTTCTGTTTAGCATGTGTATATACATATTTATTATGATCACTGTAAAATAAATGTTTGTGTCAGTCTGACTGCAATGGTGATCAGAGCCATGTTGAAATGGACCATGGCCATACCATGGTATACCATGGTATGACCATGGTATACCATGGTATATGGCCATGAAATGCAATGAAATACCATGGTAATACCATGGCCGATCATGACGTTAAATGGCACCATTGCATTTCATTGTTAACAGTGCGTTTTTAACAAGGAGTTTTCCATTGAAAAAATACTGCCGTTTCGCAGTATTTCATGGTCAGAAACCATCAAATGCAATGATATCATGGTCAAGTTCTCGGCCATGATATCATTGCATTTGATGGTTTCTTGACCATGATATCATTGCATTTGATGGTTTCTGACTATGAAATACTGTGAAACGGCAGTATTTTTTCAATGGGAAACTCCATGTTAAAAAAAACGCTCCTGACCATGAAATGCAATGGTGCCATTTAACGATCATGATATACCATGGTATACCATGGTCAATTAACATGTAATTTTGTATCTAAAAAATACCACCGTTTCACAGTATTTCATGGTCAAATACCATGAAATGCAGTGATATCATGGTCTAGACATTAAACCATGATATGCAATGGAGCCATTTAATTATCACGATCTACCATGGTATACTGTGGAAACTATACTTAAAATTTTGCATTTAAAAATACTGCTATTTTGCAGTATTTCATGGTTCCAAACCATCAAATGCAATGAAGTACAGTCAAGATGTTTAATCGAAGACTGGAGGTTTGACTTACAAAATATTAAGTTGATCTCCTATTTAACTGACAACAGTCAAATAAAAGTAAAGCATATTTGTTTAACAAAAAAAAATTGTTTCTAGGGTTATTAACTTAATTATTCATAATAGAAATTAATTTATTAAATAAAGGAACAAAAGTATATAAAGTTGTGATTTTGATGAATATCAGAATCACTAATTATAATAATTTGGTTATCTAATCAACATTTATTAATAAAGATATTTCATGTAAAAAATACTTTTTGAACATGGCCTTTCATTGTATTTCACTGCATTGCAAGAAAGACCATTGCATTTCATTGCATATCATGATCAATCATTGTATTTCATTGCATTTCATGGTTAAACGTGGTATTTCATTGCATTTCATGATCCATTTCAACTCTGACCAATTTTAGACTTGAGACTCTTGTAGAGTTCTTTTTAGCAATGAAATACCATGGTATAACCATGGTATTTGATGGTCAGGTTTGACAATGAAATGCTATGAAATACAATCAACCACGAAATGCAATGATATGCCGTGATAAATGATAGTTATGATTATGGCAATGAAATACCATGGTGTGACCATAGTATTTGATGGTCAGGTTTGACAGTAAAATGCCATGAAATACCACCAACCATGAAATGCAATGATAAAACCATGATAAATGAGAGTTTTGATTTTGGCAATGAAATGACTTGGTATGACCATGGTAATTGATTGTCACACGGTACAATGAAATGCCATGAAATGTCATCAACCATGATATACAATGGTAAATGATGGTCAGGTACATAACAATAAAATATTGTGGTATGACCATGACATTTGATTGTCAAATTGTACAATGAAATACCATCAACCATGATATACAATGGTAACACCATGATAAATGATGGTCAGGAACATGGCAATGAAATACCATGGTATGACCATGGTATTTGATTGTCACATCTTATAATGAAATGCCATCAACCATGATATACCATGGTAAATTATGGTCAGGAACATGGCATTGAAATACCATGGTATTTGATTGTCACATCTTACAATGAAATGCCATGAAATGCAATCAACCATGATATACCATGGTAATACCATGGTAAATGATGGTCAGGAACATGGCAATGAAATACCATGGTATTTGATGGCAAACTTTGGACATGAAATACCATAAAACATGGTATAACATGATATACCATGGTATACCATGGTCAAAAATTGACCAAAAAAACATCATTGCCACCATGGTCAGAGTTGATGGTAATTTCATTGCCGATCATGATAGACCATGGTAAACCATGGCATACCATGGTATCATGGTTTACGTTTAAACATGGATGTTCATGCAAAATGAAATGAATCAATATAAAGGTTTCTATATAGGTGGTCTGAAGTCACCTAGAGAGCATAATTTGTCTCTACTTGGCAGTTAGGTGATATCTGAATTATAATTTGTAACCTATAAGATATGTCATATTTCATTTCCTGAAATCAAACAGTTGGAAAATATGACAGTAACATATAATTTATGAATTTCATGATATTTTATTCATGTAATAATTATCTGTGATGCCTTTGAGCATGTTACATACATGTGTAATCATCTCATTTAAACAACATGTGATGGCTGTCTGAAGATGTACATCACCTGATCATAAAAGGAAAAAGTGCACAGGGGTCAGTTGTCAATGACATCAATTTGTCTTTCCAGTCATTGGTAGAAAGGAAGACATGATTTAGAAATCTAGCTCTTTGATATTGTTTTTCACTCTTGAAATATTGTCAATTGTGCCAAATCAGATGCCTGAAAATATATTGCAGTATATTGATATCAACCAGTCTATTTCTTGGTAATATTTGTGAACTTCAAAATGTTATTTGTACAAATGAAATATGTTTGATCCAAGCAATACCAAATGCTTCCCAATTTATTCTGTGCCACTATTAATCAAAATTTCTATTGTTGCTTATATTGACCTTGTTGATTGGAAGAAAGCAAATGTTATACAACCAGGGTCTAATGGGTCTAAGGTCTAATGAATCTAAGGTCTAATGGATCTAGGGTCTAATAGGTCTCTTTCCCTGAAGACATCTGCAGCTTTCATCACTTGGATTAATTCAATAATTTTAAGATGTATTTTGGTTTCAAGCAATATTGTGCTTTATAATGTGTTAAGAGTTGGTACTTCAACTGCCTGGTTTTGTCATTTTGAACTTTGGATTTCAATTTGTATCTTCAATACATGAATACTAAATGGGAAGCAATATGCTTCTTTTACTGGAATATCCACCATAAGTGTGGCTTATATCACAAGTGCAGAAAGTTTGGGGACTGATGTTATCAAAGCAAGGAGTTCTACATACTAAATCAAAGTGGCCTGATATTTATCAAAGGATTATAGTTTGGTGATCTTTAAATATTGACCAATCTCTCAATGGTCAAATCAGATTATGTTGCTCTTAATTCTGGCTTTGATTGCATTATGTGCATGGAATGTTACTGTTGTGTTGTGGTTCAATATCATTAGGTAAGAAGTTGCTAGATTCCATTGAGGTGTTGGATACAAAGCTCTATGAGTATCGTCATTTTTGTGTACATGTTTGGGAATTTTTTAATATGTTGCAATAAAGTTGACATTGGGTTGTGAGTTTAGTTAAATGGAACACAAAATGATATACTTTGACAAGGACTGATGTGAAAAAGCCTGTGTGTTGGGGATAATATTTTAGATATACACTGGAATAAAATTTGCATTGGATCGTCAGTGAGTGTGTGATTCTACATCATATTTTATTCATACTTCATTTAAGCTTTTGTTTTAAATGTTAATTGTTTTTTGGTGTCTTTTTGGTGTTTTGGGGTATTTTCTACAAATAGGTAGAGTTATGTAGACTTCTAATTTTTTCCTCACTTAGATTTCAATTTACGTAGTCAGTTTAGATCCTGATATGTAGCAAGACTAGCAGACATGTTAATATCGTACTTTGCAATCTTTAGAATCTGGGAAGGTGACAGTCTGGATATATTCAAAACTGAGATTGCCATCTCAGGTTACTTCCACCTTATTGATTTTCTTTTTCTTCAGTGTCCATATGAATATACATTGTCCTCACTTAGATTTCAATTTACGTAGTCAGTTTAGATCCTGATATGTAGCAAGACTAGCAGACATGTTAATATCGTACTTTGCAATCTTTAGAATCTGGGAAGGTGACAGTCTGGATATATTCAAAACTGAGATTGCCATCTCAGGTTACTTCCACCTTATTGATTTTCTTTTTCTTCAGTGTCCATATGAATATACATTGTATGTTTTTGTGTTTGCAGATGATCACTGCTGCAACTCCATACCAGCCAGCTACACATGGGGCTGGGTCAGTCCATACTTAACCTTGTTGTACCAGGATCTGGTGCCAGACCATAGGTAGGTGGTAAAGCCTTCTTTCTACTCTATGGTAGCCTTAAATTAGGGGGAGTACATGGTTTACGAAAATTTGAATAATAAACATGTTATGTTATGTCCCCAGTCCAGGGATCACTGTCCTTCTCTCAATCGGTTCTAGGACCTATTCACCTAATCTATTTTTCTTATACCTTTATATTAAGTCAGAGAGGTGTAACTTAACCTACATATTATATACAATTGTACATGTTTGTTAAAATTAGTTTTACTGTCAAAAATGTGGAGGGATAAGTACAACAGAATGTTAAGTGACACCTCATATTTTTATTTATTTATTTAGATATACACTTTTTTAACAGTGGCACTCTTACATTAAGGTGCATCTAATCGAAAGTATCCACAATGCCATGTTGGTTAAAAACAGAACCTTTTATCAAACTAAAATGAGTCTTAAAAAGAATTAAAACATTAGGTATGTTAATATTTACTTAAAATCTTATTTAAAAAGCTTTTTACTAAAGAGTCGAATAAAACACCATATTCGTGCCCCCCAAAGATGTATGCCTCATCTCCCAGTAACCATTTCAATTTTGTGTCAGTTGGGGCGCTAAAGAATATCCCTGTTAAATGTATGGGAATTTTATCCTCAAGTATTTTATAAAATTTGGATCTTTCCCCTGCAAAATTAGAACAAAATAGTAATCTATGTTCTATGTTCTCTTCTATATCAGGGCAAAAATCACAGAATGGGCTATTAACTTGTACATTTGCCCATTTATATGTTTCACCTTTAAGACCTAGTTTCCCGGTCCGAGCAAGAAATTTTAATCGTGCACTTGCAAAATCAAAAGCATTTCTTAAATAGTACTGTAAACCTTTATGTTTAAGATCAATAAGCTGTCTATACAGTGTCAAGGAAGACTTTCCGTTCATTTCAGTTTGTATCTCAGAGTCGCATGTCTTCTGAATAGAAGGTTCATAATTTTCTATCAAAGTATTTAAGTTATTGTCAATGCCTTTAAGGTCAATCAGTTTAAAGATATCATTTATGTGCTCGACATATTTCCAACTATTTGATTTGTTACATGCAAATCGTTCTTGCATTCTTGTTAGTAGTAATCTTATGAATGACCCCTGATCAAGAGTCTGTAAATGGAGAAAATATTGGATTTGTCGCTTGAGGACTATGTACTTAATTGGTGTCCAACCAAGTTCATTAATGATAGCAACATATGCAGGGGTACTTTTTATGCTTTTATGCTATGAAAAATCCAATGTTAAATCCCTAATTTACTCAAAGTAAGTGAGTATATGTGACTATTTTATGCCCTAACCTGGTATCAGTACCTGGACTTATTAAAATGAAATAAAAGTCACTAAAATAAAAAATGTCCAGTTGACCAAAGCTTGAGGCAATACTTTGTCAACATTAAAGTGTCACATTTCCTGATGGCTAAAAAGGGCTATTGTATTGATGATATATTTTTTATGTCACCACATAGAAGATGTGACGATTTGTGGTGATCTCTGTTTTTGTAGACATTCTGCTTTTCATGCTCACCATCATGTTCAGATTGTGCCGCATTTGATAAACTTAATTGCAATAACTAGATGTATAATTGTAAGGTTCAGATTGACTTATGAACATTTAACTGTTGGTGTCCACGTATAATAAGGCGTGAAGCTTCATAAGATTTTTGGCAATATCTGTTACCGGCTTGGCAAAAAATGAAGGTATTAATTGTGTTAAAAGAATTAATTGTGGTTTACTAATGTTGCCCTTGGCACTATTTTACCCAGTTTGTGTTATTTAACATCCTTGGAAGATGTTGAGATTAGATTTCAAGGTTTATTTGCAGAGCTTAAAGTATAATCTTGCCAACCTCCCCTTTACAAGAATATGTAGGAGTCAAGATTAAATACCTATACAGCTCAAGCTCAAGTGAAGACCTGAAAGTGTGTTTGTAAATAGGTCTCTCATGTGATAGTGAAACCTGTATACCTGAACACCTCTCAGTGTGAACTATTGACTTACATATTTATAAATCTTTGAAATATGAATACCTGCTAATCCGAACACTTTTGGCTGATCCCAGAGGTGTTTCGATTAACAGGTTCTACTGTACAGTATATAAGGTTTTCAGTCAAAATACAAGTAGTGTATTATTTGAAGTGTATTGAATCAGGGTTGGTCCTAAGTTGTTATTAGTATTATGTTATCTATATCCACACATTCCTCATAGCTGTTATCATATTAAGCCCTCTTGAGAATTTTTTAGCAGAATTGGCAAGGCTGATAAAGTGTCTATTGTTCTGGTACTAATTGTAAAATATGGTATAACTTGCCTTATCTGAACACCATTGGGAAAGGTCTTGAAAAAGTGTTTGTGTTTTTAGCAGGTGTTCAAAATCCGAACACCATTGGGAAATGTCTTGAAAAAGTGTTCACTGTTCAGATTAACAGGTGTTCATATTCAAAGCTCTTCATGTGAGTCAATTGGAGATAATAAAAGAAAAATTGTCAACATTGAGAGGTGTTTGGATTGGAGAGGTGTTCAGATATATAGGTTTCATCATTTTGATTTATTTATCCAAAACATGTGAGACATGAAGTTTATGGATCCCACAATGCTGTTTCACTGTAAGATGCACTGAAGGGGTTTCACTAGAATTTCTCACAACAGGCTAAATAAATGAAAACAACAGGCAAAATTAATGGAAATCATAAATTTAACATGGAAAAGTAGAAAAGTCCCTAAAAACAACAGACGATTTTGTGAAAACAACCAGTGAAAATCGCCTTTTGCCTGTTGTTAATGAAATTCCAGCGCACTCTCAGTGTTCAGAGTACTCTAATTATCAGATCCTTGTATATTATCTAGTTCTCACATTTGACCATGTGGGCCCACTGTTCGCCACCGTGTGAATACTTTTGGGCAGATGGCGGGGCATGGCATAGACACTGTGGTCAAAACAGATATCCCCATCACATCAAATACAAAATTAATTAATTGATTAAAAAATTGATACCCAAAATTATCTACTCAGTGACGATCTGTGAGCCTTTCGGCCTAGTACTTAAGCTCAGAAAAGGAGAGACAACTACTTGTTGCTGATAAGATCTAAATGACCCTAAAAGTAGTTGTTAATTGGACTTTAATGAGGGATTGATTATGAAATGAATGCCAGGTACGTATGAAAATATAAATCTAGTGAAAGTTTCTTTGATTGGATAGCTTTGTTCTAGCATTCTGATTGGTTAGGGCTAGATCTAGTTATTATCTAAAACTCAATGGGAAGGGTAAGGGTATGCTCAGAGCATATAAAACAGAAGTTGATAAATAACCATGCCAGGTGATACCAACGTCACACCATGGGGTAATTCAGAGCAAAAAATTGTACCATTTGGTCCCTCTATATTTTCCCTGAGGTAAGTATCATAGAAAAAATGAGTTGAAAAGAACAGAATTTGGCCTCTAAAATATTATTTACCATTCCATAGACCTGTATCAGCACTTGTTAATGTTTTTTTTAGTTTCAATGATTAACTTGTCTAACTTGAAATGAGGTCAAAAGTTTTGTCCTTCTGGGTTAATTTGTTTGACTTACACCTGATTTAGGACTGTTTTATGTACTTCAGCTTGCCACTTGTCAATGTTATCTGAATGATGAAGTTCTAAACTTTTGTAAAAAAAAAGCTTAACATAATATGAACATGCATTTGTCATTGATCTTGATTGAAGGTTGATATCAGAGGATGTTTAAGAATTTAAGCCCTGGACTCCGTGCAATGTGGAATGCTTTCCAAAATTTGCACGAGATGTAAAGCATCGAGTTAATTTTAGGAAACAACGTCTGAAAGGAAGGGTTATTACACATTGCATTGAGTCTTGGGCTTAAATTCGTTTCACGCATTGCAAAATATCTTTTTACAAAAAGATGAGGTATCACTAAAAAAACATATTTTCAATGAAACATTTTGCAAAGGTCAAGCTGGCAAAGTGTCATTTTCAATTTGTAGAGTCCAGTCATCACCATGACAACTTTAACTAGTGACCTTGAGTTCTTTATTCCACCCGTGTAGCTCAGCGGTAGCCCAGATACCTCTTACGCAATAGGTCCCGGATTCGATCCCCGGTTCAGGGAAGACTAAATTTGCTTGTTTGCGTGAAGTACTTCAGGGTGTTTGACTGAGTGGTCCGCAACTTGTACAAAAGGCTGTGGTGTGTACTTGTATGTCTATGAATAAGTGCACATGAAAGAACACAGGGCTCCTTCAAGGAGGGGTTTCTGGGTCTATCTTCCATGTTTATTACATAAAATTACGACCGTACATATATGGGACATACCCAAGAGGTATTGCTCACCTTCATTGGTGGTAAACAAAATACAATACAATATTGGTTATTTAAAGAGACTCTATTGAGACTTCTCTGTGGCATTTTTTCTTTATTCCTTTTTGTTTTGAATTTTTAACACCATAACATTAACTAACTACTCAATATGCAACTTTTCACCGCGTAGAATTTTAAAATATTAAGTTTGAAAATTCCATTTTTATAATGGAGCTCAATGGGAAAAACTACATAATTTGAATTATTTTCAAACGTAGCGGCGCGATTTTGATAAAATTGACAGATATAATAAATATTGGTAAGACAAAATGTTTGATGAAAAATGAAGAAAATTCACCGTCCTGGTTACGCAAACTATAGAAAAATCTGAAATAATCATAAAAACCTGTAAAAATAGATTGAAGGGGGTGATATTCATTTTTAATGTGCCTTTCACTACTACAGGGTAACCATAATTTTGGTACTGATTTGATTTTTCAATGAAAATCATTTCTATAGTGTATAGTCAGTTTAAATAATACAATTGGTATATTTCTTTACTGAACAGTGCAATCATTTATTTATTTATCAACAGTAATGCAAACTACATATTATACAGTTAGTAAAATATTAAAATAATTCTATTAAAATTTAAGCATTGCCAGAATGTGTTGACAGCTGGCAAAA